ACAACACCTAACCACAGTTCATTGCACTCTAACTGCAATTGCGCGAAAAGAAAGTCCAGCTTCCCGAAGTCTCACTATACGGCCCCTATCAAACTCGCTAAGTTGACGAAATCGTACAGGTCGCCGTACTCTAGGCATCGTAACCGATCGTAAAGGATGTCAAGAACCAAAATTCGCCAACGTTGATTCTTTACTGCGGCTGAAATATTCATTTTTAGAGCGTTAGTGAATTAAAAAAAAGCAGTATAAAAACCGGAATGTCCAACTGATAAGGCTGAAAATTTGTTCACTTGTTATTTACAGTAAGATAAATACATTCATCAACTTTTATTAAAATAAAACCATTTAAACTGGGTGTTCGGATGTATATGTCACTTAGTATATTTAGCTCGCTTTTGTTTTTCGGTGTTCCTAAGACGCGCCTTTTCTTCTTCTATGTCCGCTCCAGCTAAATGACCAGGTTGACCTCGCTCTCTCTGCCACTGCAAGAACACCCTATCTTAATTTGTTGTCATCAATTAAACGATATTGGCATCCGCAATATCAAACAGATTGTCCAAGTTGGTAATAAACTTTTTTCGACGTTGCTCAAGCACATCAGAGGGAAGTTTTGAACCAGTAATCTGATGCTTTACGTCCTCTATTACAAATATTCGTTCAACACGTTGACTGAAAGAAAACAGTTTGTTTACTAATAGAACAAACGAGCACTGCAATACCTTAGCTAGCGCGCGCCAAATATGGAAATTTTGACATGTTCCAACTCGGAACGAGTTGCCCTGCTTCTAGGTACATAAAACTTTAAAAAAAACTTTCATTTTTTTGGGGCACCTGACAGTTGAAAATGCTTTAGTCTACATGAGTGCTTGGCGATACCGAGTCAAACTGCATTACCCTGTTTACTTGTTATAAACAGGTGCAATTTTGTTTGCATAAAATCATATGCCTTAACAACAAATTACCATACTCAACTATAGACAATACTTTTTTTAGTGGTTCAGTATAGTTATAAGAACAATAATCGCACGATTGTGAATTTTGTGATTATCAACTTGCGATCGTTGGTAAACACATTGTTTGATCGAGAATAAAATCGTTTCTTAGCTGATGCTTTATTTGTACAATCGCCTGTTTGTTGTATGTCGATACAATATAACAATGGTAATATTTGAATTTTTAATCAATGCACACTGCATTGTATTCCTTGCTCAAATAGAACGTAAACGTACATAACTTTCGGTAGCAACACAAAAACATTTACGGTAACAGTAAAGACCGGTATCCTGAGTATCAAGAAATATCCTTCATATTTTAGTGCAAGCAATTTCTGTTGGGTATAACGTATGATCGTCGCCAATAACACGAAGTGGCTTATCTGTGTCAATTTCTAATACTTCCACAGTTATAGAAGAATAATATTAGATTTATCTCATTTTAATAGGAAATTAAATGTCACGAGGAAGCTTAACTAGTAAGTTATGCCAATTAGTGAAATAATAAAATATACATATCATTTTACAGCGTATGGCTTAGGTATCTAAGTTACTCATGTTCGTAAAATTGTAGTTTTTATTTTATCACTATACGCACTGTGACGTATATATTCTTTTAACTTCACGTTCAGCACGAATACAACGTTTTCAGATTAAATAGACAAAAACTTCTGAGTGCAGAGCCAAGAAAAATTACTACAAAAAATATATGGATTTGAAGTAGCTGTGTGAAGCAGATATAACGTTAGTTCGTTTACAAGAATATCAAAGATTCTATTTAAGTCTTGCTCATGAGTAATAGGTGAAATACTAATTATTATATACATAACATTACGTGTGATGATGTTTCGATGATACTCCAATCTTTTATGCACTTGTGAGACATCCCTAGGCTTTAAATTTTACGTCCTTTTCAAAAATCCAAGAATCCAATATGGCGAACATAAAAAAATGAAAGGTGAAGCCGATTACGGGAAAACAAAATACGATTGAGACGTGTCTTACGCGATATCTTATTTGCCTTAAAACAATGTCCGAATAATGTCAGATTTTGACAGCTGTGAAATTAACCGTTTCGGATTTACCGACAAAAAACAAAACACATTTTCGGTTTTTCGCCGATATTTCCAAAACCAATTGACCGATCACGAATCTGAAGCCAGTTATCGAACGCACTAAGTTTTCTCTAAACATTTTCCCATTCAACCTTTGCTGTAGGTGTAACAGTTAGCCGAGATCTCTGTATAGAGAAGCGAATTTGGGACACACTGTACACGAATAAAATGTATTACTTTGTAGCTTGGATACATATATAACAAACTGCTAATCTTCGTGATAGCACCTAATTAAGCTCCAAACAATATAATTCTTCATTTTTATGTACAACCTGACCTTGCCTAATGTTTTTAATTATCATTATGTTTCAAGACTGATTGAACTAACAACTTCCCACCTTATCTGCCGATGATACTTTGACTCCGCGATGCAGGCTGATCGATACGTGTTAAACATTTTTAAATAACATCGACATTAAGAATCTTTTTTTATCAGTTGTCCGATGGCCCCGTGAGGCAACACTTTTTTTGCAATAATAAAAAAATAAACGCCAGATAAAGATATGTTTATCTCTTTGAGACTTCTCGTTATCGAAGCAAATTTCCAAATGCAAATATGTGTTTATATGTCAGATAATCTGAGTCAGCTACAGATAAACATTGCATGCATCTATTTCATAAATAATGTACTATTTATATACTCAGTGGCATTAGAAGTGTTACTCCCAGAAAAAATAATTTCTTCCACGTGTAATTTTGCTTTGCTTATTTTGGATGACATGGGGGGTAGGGGAGTCTAGATGATGATTACGTCATCGGTAGTTATTTACTTTTTTACACGAATGGCAACCCTTACATTGTCTTTGCTCTAAACTTCCTCTATCAGTGTATTGTTTCGTTTGGATTCTATAGCGAGTAGACGTATTGTAAGCATAGTAAAGTAAGTTAACATTTGTGTTACCATCGATTCCATTAGGCAAAGTTTAATGTTTAAATAAAAAAAAATGTTTGAATGTTTTAAAAAATCGCATACAAGTACGAAAGTACAAAATGTAAAAAAGTTAGTTAACGAAGTGTGGCGAAATTACAAGCAAAATCCGACAAGGAACTAGATATTATTGTATATAAGAGAATCGAGGAAGAATTGCAAGCGGCGACTAAGAATAAATCTAATCTACTAAATTTTTTTTTCTAAGGTGAGTGACGAAATCATTTTAGGTACCTATGAGTACTAGAAATATTGGAAATCGCCAAAAAGTGTCTCTTTACTGATTAGAAAATATTATGACCTATCTCAAAGTATAGAGGTAGTATTCATTATATTATAGATTTATTTCTTATGATTGATTCCGTCAATTGGTCACAAAGTACAGGATGTTAGTTTTATACATATATACAGAAAACTAACACCCTGTATTTTGTGACCGGAACGAATTGCTCGTTTAAACATATTAGATTTAAAGCCATAGGGTTTAGTATTTAGCATATATATTGCCATACTTTGTATTTATGTAGCTTAATAAGAGAATCTTTAGCAGAAGCCATAGAAAGTTTTTATTTTTAGGCAACCTGTAAACCTACAGAAAAAACACAAATTATACAGTCAGCTTCAAATATTAAAAAAGAGGAAGAAGATAAAATAAAACCCGGTAATGAATCACAACAGCAATTCGAAATTAATGAAAATACAGATAAACAGAGAGCAAAACCTTCTCAGGAAGCTATGAAAAATAAGCTTGCTCTACTCGAAAAAAATCTGAATTTGTATTCTGCCAGAGATACTAAGCCGTGCTGAAGTTGATAAACAGATCATTAAGTTGCGCGATGAAATAAAAACAGTAAAACAGTCTTTAAACAGGAAGGTTCAAAACGCAGTTGCCCAGAAGAAACACAGCAATGGTATGAAAAGAAAGTTAGAAGATAAAAAAAGACTATCTCTGAGGGATTCAGAGGGACGTCCTTATCTTGAAAGCAATCAACATTCACTATTGAAAACAACAATTGCGGATATAGCCTTATTTGGGAGTGCAGCAGATGATAGAAGACGATTGGAATCAATTCGCAGCGTAAAAACTCTTCATGAAGTCACACAAGAATTACGTAAAATAGGATTTGACATTAGTCGCAGTGGGACATATCTTCGTTTGATTCCCAGAAAATCTAATTCTGCAGAGGGCGAAGACATCTATTGACAGTCCCTGTTAAGCTCATTCGGGCTCAAACTGATCACCACAAGAGCCACTTAGATAGCAAGTTCGCTGAAACATCAATCCATTATTTAGAGAACATAGCATCCATACTTGGACCAGATCAAGTATTTTTCATAACTCAAGATGATAAAGATGGAGTCCCTATTGGCTTAACTACGGCAAATAAGCAAGCACCTCTTCTAATGAACATAGAATATAGAATGAAATCGCCTGATCACGATTGGGTAATCGCTGAGCGTCATAAATTAATACCATTTGTTTATGCTGGTATCAAAATCACTTCCAATATGCTAGGACAACCGCAAGCCGTTGGATATTCTGGACTAACATACATCGCTATTCGAAGTGGAAACCATAGTTCATCTACTGCTAATACTCATACTCAGGATTTCGAGACGCTTCTCGAACTTGAAGAGTTTCGACCATTAGCTAAAACTGACCATGGACTAGTAAAACCAGTGGTAATCATGACGGTTGATGGAGGGCCAGATGAAAATCTACGTTACCAAAAAGTCATAGGGTTTGTCATACATCACTTTAAGCGACATGATCTCGATGCATTGTTTTTACCTATCAATGCTCCTGGGAGAAGTGCGTATAACAGAGTAGAGGGCAGAATGGCTCCTCTTAGTCGGGAACTGGCCGGTTTAATATTGCCTCATGACCATTTTGGGTCTCATTTGGATTAACGTGGCGTTACACAATTGATGAACATTTAGAAAGATCAAATTTCGAATTTGCAGGAAATGTATTAGCTGAAGTATGGAGTTCAATGGAAATTGATGGCTATAATGTTAATGCAAAAGATGTTGGGGCAGGTGAACAAGATCTTCCTGATTTTCCAGGCATCAAATGGTATTCAGAAAATGTGCGTGAGAACCAATACTTTCTTCAAATTGTAAAATGTAGACATACAGAATGCTGTCGTCCAAGAAGTGGCCTATTTAGATTACTAGACAATAGGTTTCTTCCACTACCTGTAAAAGTAAAACAAACAGTTGACGACTTGGTTTTGGATGAAGGAGGGCAATTTCTTAATCTTCCAGTCAGTTTAGCTCTACGCTTAAGTGCTTCACTCAAACATTTCCTGCAAATGCCCTACGATTATTTTTGTCCGATGGTAAAATTGAGGCTATCAAGTCGAACATGCAAAACGTGTGGTCTTTATCATGCTTCCGTCAAGTCACTAAATCGTCACATCGAAAATATCCATAAAGAAGTAAACACGCACACTGATAGGAAAGTTAGACCAGTAAGAGTCGCTGCTCGTCGTGCTAATGAACTGATGTGCATTATTCAAAATATAGAGCACCATGATGTTGAATGGCTCTATGAGAACGACGTAGACATTCCAAAATCCGATGAAAGTGAGCAAACTCACAACACTGAGCAGCAATCGAAGCAATCCAATGTCATCGAAAACTTAGAATCATGGATTGGGGTTTCATGGACTGAGGACTGTTAATTTGAATTTAATATATGTACCAAAAATTTAAAATAAGTTTGTTATGTTAGTAAGATATAATATTTTTGTCCTTTATGTTGAATATGAAAATATAATCTCTATTCTAAATCTATTTTCTTATTTTTCAAATTATAATTATAGCGTTATAATTATAATATTAAAAAAAAACAATACATTAATTAACAAATAATTGTAATAAATCTGCTTACGTAATACTTGAACGGCCCTTTACTTGACAATAAAGTTCCGTGAGAATGTTATCGTTTCATTTTTAGTCTAAAACTACCTCATTGCTAAAAAATCAAGTTGTAATTATTTTTTCTGGGTATAACACTTCTAATGTCACTTAGTATACATACAGGGTGGTTCCTTAATCACATGCGAATATTTAAGGGTGTGGATCTACATGAAAAATTAATGTTAGTTTGCTTTATATACTATAGTCCAAAAATGTTTCCTTACAAAAGCTAGGGGTGTTGAAGTTTTAGGAAAACAAAATGGAAATTAATTAATATTTTCAGAACCGCTTCAGATATTTCACTGATATTAGGTACGTAGTAAAAATCAATACAGTTGCATATTTTTCAATGCGAAAATAATTTTTAGCTCTAACAGTGGCGTACGTACGGGAATTGACTTCGATATTTTTTAAGAAAAAAATGGTACGGCAATGGTTTTTCGATGCGCCATTTTTGAGTAAAAAAATAAAAACCGTTCTGTTGTCTAACTTGCAAAATTATTATTAATTCGATTGGAAAAATTAAACACATTAGGGGTAATGAACAACAACAACTGACAACATAAACATAACTTTAAAACCAACGAAATGATTAAAAAATTGTTGAAAATGGCCCCCTTCACCTAGCGCTCCTTCTCATGGAATTGCGCAGTCTTTGAAATATCTCTGGAGTGTTTTTTATTCTATCACAAGGTGCATCTATTCTTTATCTTAATTCCTCTACAGTGTTAATGGGACTTGTGTACACTAGTGTCTTAAGATAGCCCCACAAAAAGAAATCTAAACTGTTGAGGTCTGGGGACCTTGGTGGCCATTCTTCGGGCCCACCGCGGCCAATCCAAAGATTTGGATAGACAGTTTGTAAATAATTAAGAACCGCTACACTGACATGCGCTGGTGCATCATCATGCATGTACCACATATTGTTTCTTATTACTAACGGAATATCATCGAGCAGCAAAGGCAACTGTTGTTGAAGAAAATTGAGGTAAGTCTGTGCGTCAAGTCGAAAATTGGTGTTGGAAATGGGTTGCGGTTACCGCATAGGGATTTTCTTCTGCCCACAAATGAATATTGTATTATCTTGAGTCATCGTACTTGTCTATGTGTACAATCTCATGCTGTAAAACACGAAAGACTAAACAGATAACTTGATGGTGAAGTGGGATTCCAGGACGGGGAATTAACCGAGTTACGTTAATATTGTTATAAAATTATGCCGACGTACTTCCCAACGAACCTCATAGATTAGCAACAGCTGTCCATTAGTATGTTTCACTATACGAGGTCAGCGGAAAAATAAAATTTACTGATAAAGAGAAACAAAACGTGGGAGTAATTTTAGTATCGTTCTTGAAGGGTTCGATTTTGACAAAATACAGTCACATATTGTACAATATGCAGTCGCAGCCTTTTCATATCGAGGCGCACATGGTCGGTACATATTGCAGACCCCCAAAATGTCTGGCACAACATGTGTGATAAAAATGGAAACGTCCTGCAACATGTTATGGCCCAAGAACCGACCGTAGAGGCACTATTTGCGATCTATTTCTTAAAAAGCCGCTGTTGATTCAGAGAAACCATAAAATTTACATTTGATTATCAAATGTAAATGGTTGATGGTGTCAAAAGCTTTAGAAAAATCTAAAAGAATCAAGGAAGACGTTTGATGATTATTCAAGCCCCGACAAATTTGTTAGATCTAACAATGCTGCAACAGTATTACTCCTGCCAAAAACATCATTGTCTAGATGATTTTCAAAAATATTCATTTATACTAAGTGACATATAAAATGCAACACCCAGAATTATTTACTGGATCTTGATAAAAATTTGTAAACATATTTGTTAACATGGTAGTATACATTGTTTTATTGCATTATCATGCCTAGAGCTCGCAGACGCGCTAATTTCACTCAACTTTCAGAGTTTGAGAGGAGAGGATCTACGTGAAGCCGGATTTTCTTTTAGAGAAATCGCTAATTGGGTACATCGAAACAAGAAGACTGAAATCGACAAGATAGAGATACTGCACGTCAAAGACAGACTTAGAGATCGATTTTCCACAAAAAGGGCAGTTGCGAACCAGTGGTTTGATGCTGTTGGGAGGTCAATAACAATGAGGACAGTTTATCGCCGAATAAGGCCTTTTGGACTGTTTTCATACCGTTCCCATCTTGTGCTACCAGCAGAGTCGGCAGCGATTGGTATTGAGTATGGAGAGACTTAAATGGAATATGGAATGGAGCCATGAGTCCGGATTTTGTTTGGGCACACATGATGGCCGTAAAAGAGTAAGGAGCAGACGTGGTCCATCGAATGACATATTCATCGTACTGTGGGTGTCGTGGTATGAGGTGCCATTGCTTACGGCAGCAGGTCACGATTAGTGCCCAGCGCAGTTTTACAACCACATCTGCTTCCCTTTTTGGAAACATTGCATAATCCACTTTCTCAGCTGGACAATGCACGACCTCATGTCGCACGTGTTAATTTAGACTTTTTAGATGCGCCCGTAGTAAATCAGCTCCGGTGGCCTCCTCGATCTCCAGACCTTTCCCCCATCGAAGATGCATGGGTCATGATGGGAAGGGGGTTGCAAAATTCACCGCACCCTCCACAAATTCAGATGGCCATGGGTACAATACACCAAAAAGACATCAATCACCTATTCCAATCAATGCCGTGAAGAAAAAAATATTTGTATATTTCTGTAGGATCTTTGAGACGGGTATTTTGAGATATTTGTATACGCTTTAACTTGAGAGCTTTATAAAAATTCAAAGAATTATTCTTGGCACTAAGCAATCTTAAACAAGCTGTCTTTTCGAATATAATTTTTCCTAGGGTTGATTTCCGTAACCTTTTGTAAACATTCCATGATTCCTCTGATCCATCACGTGTGAATTGAGTGTGCTTTGTTTTTTCACTTGATTTAAAGTTTCACATCTGCCATTAACCACGGAGCAAAAAAGCACACGCACAATTTTTAGAGACGTATGAATATCAAAAGGGTGCATAAGTCAAACAACGTATTGATATATATTTTTTTTAACGAAGAAATTCATTTAAACACCAACTAGTTATCATAAATTACAACTCAATACTAAACTAAACTATACTATCGAATCATGTCGAGTGGCCCATTCTGTTCTACCAGACGCAACTTTCTTCGAAATACTTTGATGAGGTCCTGGATGGAATTCGGATCAATTTATCTCAGTTTTTCGTAAATTCGTTCTTCGCCTTGGGCTTCTCAGCTTCCATGAATAACCTGCCTAGACAGTAAAGCCCAAAAATCGGGAGAGCCTGTGTCAACTTTGGAGAACTATCGGTTTTTAGGAACAAAAGGTATGTTGTGTTGTGGAAGTCAGTTTTGGGTACCTTTTGAGTAATGGCACGATGCTAGGTCTGGTCAAAACATGATATGGTCATGATCATGATGTTCGTGGACAAACTGAAGCAATTTGGAAAGGCAGTTATCAATCTAGCTCTGACTATTCAAAGCTTTAGCCCTCACTCTTCCCACAAAAGGTGGGGTCACATCCAAAATTGCGCACCAGACAAGGATTTTATCGGAAAATTTCGCTTTATCTTTGTATCTAACATTGTGTTGGCATTCCTGAACGTTATCCGTTCAAAATTACTCAACGTGAAATACTTTTCGACATATAAAATAATGATTTTTTTTATTGGCAAAGTGTACCTGCCTCAGATGACGACGGCATCTTGTAGTCCAGGAGTATTAGACTTTCTCTGCTGAAAAAATCTTACCTAACTCAATTTTTTATCAGAGCTTCTTTTCAGCATTATAAATCATCCCTCAAAAGTCCCCATGAATCCAAATGGAGATTTTTTTGTGCGGTCAGAAAAAAAATTTTTTTCCGTATATAATAATAATAATATTTATTCGCCAAAATACAAAAAAATGGGCAAATAAATATGAAAAAACCACAGAAGGCATCGCCTGTGTGTGGTTTATATCTTAATAACTAACAATCAATCATATATGTGTATATCAATTATTGTTAAATCTAAAAGGTATTAATGTAATTGGAATTTTGTACTTTTAGTTTTCTATATAATTATGTATAGTCATTCGCTGCACATTACTAACCCAGTCTTTCAATTTTCTTCTAAATTTTTTTCCAAAATTAAGTATCTTTATTTCGTTTGGTACTACATTATATAATTTAGCCGCTAAGAATTTAAATGATTTTTTGAATAATGTTTTGTGTGGTCTTTTTATTACAATACTTATGGTATAAGGTGGTGGCATATAAGAAATAAAGTTGTCTTGTATCAAGTATCCCTGTTTCTTGATATATGTTGTTCGTTGGATATAATCTTGGCTTATGGAGAATGGCTTTCAAAACAGTTTTTTGTGCTATATTCAGGTCAGAAATATATGTCT